GGTCTCCCATGTTGTACGAACGTTCCATGTAACTACAATGATGGCTGCTCTTGTTGTGAGGGGACATCCAGCTCGTTTCTTCCTAAGTGACTTGCTTTTCACCGTGAGATGTGATGTGTTGTAAATGAACACCTTCGAAGTTCAGGGGCCGAGTTTGAGAGGTTCAAATAAGTTCTTTCCGGCCTCCGATCTTTTTCCAAGTTTTCAAGATAGGGCCGGGTCACTTACTCCACCCTTAAACCTCCTCTTTAATCCATGCTTAGAACTGTCAGTAACCCCAGAACGATACTAGGTGGAGTCGCGCTACGCTGGATTGGCAAACAAGTTCATAATACGAATAATTTTATTGGTAGCTGAAGTTGATATTCAACCATCTAACTTCACTAGACACATATCTGGTTGAGGGTACTTAGCCATACATTTGTTTTGAATTATTGGTAGACCATGCTGCACATCTCTCAAAAAACATAATCACTTTAGATGAAATATTTCTTGAAAAACCGATTTACTCTCAAATATATTCGTAAATTCCCTTCTTTCCAGACCTTTATTATTGTTGTGTTTGAAATCCTCGATTATAAAGGCGTAACAGAAAACATATCTACCGAGCACTGGATGTTAGTGATAGCTCCTAAACATTTCGACCAAACTACTTAACCTTGACTATTTTTTAGTAGCCTACTTGTTTTTGAAGTGAACTCTCTGGTGTTAGAGTCCTAGAGTGAACATCACCTCAAGGATTCCTGAGCATTCGGTTAACCCGTTCTAAAGGGAACTAAGTTGCGTCTTAGATCCCACTGTTAAATTTCTCTATGCTACTACTATCTGTACTTTTTCTTACAACATTATTGGCTATTTAACGTTTCTAAACGCAAAAACTGGATCAAGCAGAATCAAACTGTTTTAATGATGATAGATCTGCTAGGGGCAATAAATTTTTTCAAAAAGATCACAAACCTTCCAGTGCGTAACAAAACACGGGTGTCAATGGCAAGTTGGCTATTTTCAATTCTGTCGGTTTGTTTGGTCACAATTTAATGATAACTGTTATCTTATATCCTGTTGCATAATGAGGGACAATTAGTTATGAAGACAAAGAATTCAGCGTTGTGTCAGTCTTTCCGTTACATGCATACTCGGAGCTTATTTAATGTTGAAAGTTACATCATTTATTTCCATGACATTCCACGTACATCATAGTATATTTTTCAAGTCGATCATACGAAAAGCGAACTATCATAAAGTTTCTTGAATTCCTTCTAACCCAAGTTTAACATTTAAAAGTTTAGCGTTCTAAATTTATCAGAGCTTAAATATTTTTCCTTCTCACTTATTAATCACCTTACAGTTACAAATGTTCTCATAGATGTAATAAGGTAACGCGAAGGTAATACACGCGCATGGTTACCTTATGATAAAATTAATTTATTTTTATTTATTTTATAGGCAAGATCAAAATGTTAAAATTGCTAACATATTTTCTGTAAAAGGTTGTTCAGTTACGCAAATATTTCATAAAATAATTTAGCTTGATAAAGATGGTTAAATTTTTCACAAAAATTATAGATAATGTTTCAGACTCTGCAATGAACAGTACGATAGTTGGTGCGAGTTACGGCGGTTGTGATACGACGAACCACCAACGAAATGTAAACCCAGGTCTGCTTATACAAGAATTGATAAGGTAAATGTGCAGAGATCTAGTTGATATTCATCAGATAAAAAAGATGGCTCCGGGTAAAGTGACCAAGTCTTCGACAATTATCAAGACTAGTATTTTAGGATAACAATAGGGTGCATTGAAGGGAAAATAAGTAGAAAGAAGTGAGGAGCATATATCTGACAGATTCAGGAATAATTAGACCGTCAAAAAGCCAACGGGTATCTCCTTAAGCGTAGTCTCTAAGAAGTATAATGATGACTGAGGTCCGACTGGTTGTTGTCAGCGATCTAGTGCAAGCATCACCCCTAATCGTCACTCATCATAAATACAAGACTTATAGCCACCTTGATAGGCATAGCTCTCTTCGCGAGAATTGGCGGGATTAAAGCGTTTAGCTAAATTCTTATGGCTTTGAAGATCATTCTAAAATAGCTACCACTACTCTTTTTGGTTTATTCCGATTTTTGCTTAATAGCTTCAGAAATATTGCTCAAAAGTTTCAGAGATTCCCTGATGACGTTTTAAGAGGTCTTGGCTTCGCGGATGCTTATGCTGTGACTGTCTAATCGCAAGTCCGGGCGGAGAATCTTATCTTCGGTATCTGGATCTTGTTTCCAAAAGACTTCAAAATATGACAATGTTGTGAACGTACGGGGATTTCCGAATGTAATCGACTCTGTTGACTTCCTGGACCTTACTGTTGACGCTCAAGGCATTCCATCTCCAGAGAATAGAGTAGCGATAATCCAGGTTTTCCCAGGACCAACAAAATTTTGACAGCTGAGCGCGTTTAGGAGCTCGAAAGTTTCCACCGACGGTTTGTGTTTGGATGGCCCCCAAAAGCCTCCGTACATTTCGATACTTACCAGATTAAAGGTTTCTTCTACTTTTCCTAAAGTTTTAGGTCTGCGGCCTAGGGTCGGCCCTGCTAGTCGTCCCGGTAAAGGTTGTATTGCGCATTATTATCTCCAGTGGCAAATTTAAAAGTTGTGATCGAATTGCGCATCTCCAATGAGATCCTTTATTTGGACAACTATATGGAAATATGGGAAAGATTACTTTGAACAGTATTGCGAAAACGTGTTTTCCAGGTTGGAGGAAAGTATATCGAAATTAAGAATATTGGCACAGCTTGAGACCGGATCATTCAGTAGCCTCACCGTAAACCCATCCTACTCAACAACTGGCCGAGACTTACATCAGAACGCCAACAGAATTTAACAATTACAGGTATTTTTTACAAGTCGGCCAATGATAATGATGATAATAATGGTAATAATAAAGATAACAGACACCTGGCCCTTCTTATTTTTGTCGATCAATATTTACCTTCTATGAACTGCATATTATCAGACCGATGCCCTATCGTTTATACATTAGTTTGCTTCACGCTGTTGTATCGTTACGCTAACTAGTACAGAGATAACCTCTGAATGGCTAATACACAAGGACGAGAGAATTATTGCATACACTTCTGGAACGGCCCGATACCAACTTGTCCAAACCGAAGAGGAAGAACAGAGACCTGTTACCATCAGTCCAAGATTGCTGCTATATTTCAACTACCCAGTTAACGTTATAAAATCCCGGACATCACAGCGGACTAGCTGAGTAACAATGCTAAAGTGGGACAACAATGTTGATGTTGGGAAAATAAAGTCATGGGTACACAAATAATCCATTACAGTTGGTGAATGGTTGACGAATAATTTGACGGGATCTTGGGAAGCGTAACCTCAACTCTGTGGGACTGTTATTTTTAGGAGTAGGATGAGATGCTAAAAAAAGAAAGCGGTGAGGAGCAGAACAGAAAATATTATTGATTAGGGCCGAGTCACAAACAAACTTATACATTTTTGAAGGTGTGGTTACTCGGACCTTTCTTTTACTGTATTAGAACACTAACTGTACACCTGCACTTATGTAGGTTAATGAAGACAAGTCGCTAGTAATGTGACGAATAGGCAATTAATCGTATGAATAAAGGAAATTCGAGAGAACTAAGTTGTTAGAAATAATACTGATTCACAGTGTATCATCGGGAGGACAGTGCTTTGATGCACTACTAATATTCAGCTTTTCGTTCTTGTTTTATCACCGTTGCTTAAGAAGTCACGAGTGAACTCCTTTTCAATATAACTGCCCATATCAGCTTGTAATAGAATAATTTGCTAGGGAGTGAGACCAGTTCAAGGTTACGGACATGAGTCATAGACCAAGTTGACACAAAAAAGTGACATCAGTATAATCGATTAGTCACAACATACTATTTCGTAAGGAGCCGTATTTAGAGTCCACGGACTCATTAGGATCTACAGGGTGCATTCATATCCTGTTTTTGATCAGTGCGCTTATTATTCGTTATGGCACTGGGAGTTGTCTTCAGTTGATTATCCGCCAAGATCCAGCCAAGTGATCTAGTCACATCTCATCTTTTTACACGACGTTCACAAGGTGTCTAATCTGGAGTAACCTTATGTCTCCAGACGGGATCGAAGAGCTAATATTTTTGCTCGAATGGATAAAATGTTTGGTGTCTTTTACAGCAGACCAGAAAAATTGACGTTTGCCATAGCACATGCTTTAAGGCAACGAGTACGCGGCTCACAAGATGAAGTTTTGACTCTTCCTATTACATATTCATCAGGGATAAGGTATACAGATTTCGACCTTTTGGTTGGTTTTAGAAGCTGATGATATCAGTCTTTTACTCGAGTTATTGGTCGTAATTGCAGAATGAGTTAGATAAACGGTTATTTAATTTAAGCGGAGATTTACGAGTATAACTAGTTGAGTATTAAATAGGCTAATACTAAAATCAGTGACCGTAAGGAAAAGGTTGATTTGTCTATTAAATGTTCAGTCAGTAAGTTTTAGAATTACTTTCAGCCTATTATTATGTTTACTTTAATGTTTGGCTAGTCATTGGGCGTGGGCAAACAGGCCCTTAACCCGTTGACTATGGAATATTCGATTTGATCTCCTCCTAGTGATATCTACTCTGGACTCACAAACTGAATGCTTGTATTTGTGTTGAATTAAATATTGCCTACGACTAACTCTGGTTCTCTATTGATTCGTAGATCGTCTGTTCATCGTACCGTTTGAGTATTCAACCCCGTAGTAGTTTAAACTTCATCACTCAGACCAGTGCCATTTAATAGTATCATAGTTATAATTCCATGGATGAAATATATTCCTCCAAACCCGTTATAACCGAACCACATCCATCCAGTTCAGAGTCCAGACTATATTTAGTTGCAGATTTAAACTTCTTCAACCTTCCTAATGTAGTTACTTACGTGCACTGAAGGTATCGAATATTGGAATTGCTACACTTGTTTCTTTGTGCTGATTACTGAACATTGGCGGTTCAGTTGATGCTCGCAATATGTCAGCTACGGATCAGATTCGTGCCCTCCTGGATGAGTATATGGGTACAACCCGAAATGGTAAGTTGTCTCCTTAGAAAACGTTTCTTGTTATGCATTGTCAAATGGCCCACGACTTTCTAAGTGCGTAGATAAGGTTTTTCTGAGCTTTGCACTCAATTTGTCTCTTCATTATTTTTAAGGTGTTCATGAATGTGTTTGTGCGGTTGAATGTCAATTCATGTAAGTAAAGGGTCTGAGGGTTATTTGATGGTTTAGATATTAAATGTAAATGCATTATTTTTCCTATTCTATGAAAATTGTTGACTGCATATACTGGTAACGCCCATTTAGGACAAGAACCGAGAATAGAGTTTGATAATCCTCGCGTCTGTAAAAGCTACCTACTGGATTGTTGTCCAAATGAAATACTGTCTGGAACGGTAGGTCTACAATTTTTCTAACCATGTTTAGCGAATGGACTTGGGAAACTGCCTTTTCATACATGACCCAGCTCATAAAGCAGATTATCGTAAAGAACCGGACACCAAAAAATTCCAATATGAACTGGATGTAAGTTGCCTTGATATATACTTATTTCGAAGGCACTAGAGCATTTGGAAGCGTTTATCCGGGACTGCGATCAGCGTACTGATGTAGCTAAAGCAAAGCTTCGAGAAACCCAGGAGGAACTAACAGATGAGGCTTCTCAAAAAGCTGAGCATATAAACCAGCTGAGCGAGCAAATAGGAACCAAATTAGCCAAGGCCGAGCAACTTGGTGCAGATGGCCATGTTGAAGAGTCTTTGAAACTCATGAAGGAAGTTGAGGAGTTAAACTTGGAAAAGGCGAAAAGTGAGGCTGATTTACGGACTGCAATACCAACAAGTACGTACCAACAGCAAAAGCTCCGTGTTTGTGAAGTTTGTTCTGCTTATCTCGGTGTACACGACAACGATCGTCGGCTCGCTGACCACTTTGGAGGGAAGTTGCATCTGGGTTTTATTGAGATTCGACAGAAATTAGCTGAGTTAAGACAGTATGTAAACGAGAATAACATAGTTCGAAGGCGCAGGTTTGAAGGATACAACCGCTCCATTTTTGTCACAGTGGAGGAGAGGCGTGAAAAGGATCGCATTCGCGAACGCGAACGTGAGATTGAAAAAAACGAACGTCGACCGAAATCCAGGAGTCGAAGTCGCTCGCGGAGTCGTTCCCATAGTCGACGACATAGTCGTCACCGTAATGGCAAACATTCCCACAAAAGTAGGAAACGACACCATCGCTCTTCCAGACGGAATAGTGAGGATCGTCATTGACAGATGACTTAACTCTTGTATAATATTACTTCCGATTCTTGACCTGTATTTACTTCCTGTTCTCTAATGTACCGTCCCAGTAAACTTGTCTCTGTGATTTGCATTCAGTTTTATTTTATACATTGAGTGTTTTTCATCAGCTATTCAAAATATTTTGCTGTCCAATATTTGTTAATATTTTGGAAGTAGCAACAATCGCTGTATTTGGATACATATGTTAGCTAAACTGGTTTGACGCAAAAACGCATTAAAGTTATAAGTGAGATCGGCCCTGTGTAATGATCAGTCTGTTGGCGTCTGCCTAGCTTCTCATCATAATATGAGCTAGCGTTCTTCCTGATTAGCAACAAACCCATTTCGGAAACATACAAGTTCAATTAAAAACCAGTCTGGTATGCAGGATATGTCTGAGGGAACTGCGACATGAACCATTTACCAACCTGTTAATCGATTATATAAAGTAGTGGTACCACTCAACTTTCCGGACTAATGAATGAGGGGCTAGGCTTGTCTTAATGCAAAATTTATGGATAGATTTCCTTGGAGAAGTGTCTACAGTTAGACTGGCCAGCTCGGAACTTAAGGATGAGACAGTTGGCGTGCTTTTTATTTTATGCTTGTGTAAACTCGTTGAATGCAGCGCTCAACAGATATGCTAGTCAGCTCAGCCGCGAACCTCGAAACAACTATACACCAATCACTTGCAATGTTGAACTCATTATGTTTCCCTATCCAGTTAAATCAAAGATAGACTTTTTGACCATATACCAATGTAGTAAGTGTTACAGTATTATAATGATTAGGGTCGGAGATAAGATTCTAAGACTTAATGGTAATTTTCATACCAATAAAACAAAACAGAGCCAACCACTTAGTAGTAAACTCTTTCTGGTTAGCAGTCGAATTTCTCGCATAAGTCAAGTTAGTGAAATTCTGTCCAACCTGTATGCGTATCGAGATCTCGTTAAGCACCAGACCATCAGTACTGACGAGGATCTTAGGCGGTCAACACGCTCAACCACTTCACCCTTATCACTAACTGAGGTGCATACTCAATCCTGTCCTGGTTACATTTTTTGCTTTGGCTGGTTAGGAGACGGGGTCATCTGTAGTTAAATGAGTCTGATGGGAAACGAACCACTATTAGGTCAGATGATGTGTTGTTTCTAGAGGCATCAAGAGTGACTAGAGATAAGGAACGTGGACAGTCCTGACAAACCAGTTAGAGTAATCCATTTCAATGTTCTGATCCAATCAGTACTGTCTTAGTCGGAAGTCTGAATAAGAATAAGAGCCAAACGCCACAATGTAAAAGAAGGTAGCTATTGTCGGGCGTCAGGATTCTTGTCCTTGTTTCAGAATATGCTTCAGCTGTGAATGAATTACCCTAATCCTGTGGTCTGACTATATCTCCCTTAGACCTGAATCCATAAGTGCGACAACTCAAATTAAACTACCACAACCAGATTCTAGATAGGGTTCAATCCAACGGAGAGTGCTACTCCCCCCCAAAGCGTCACTTATGGCGTATGCGAGACGAGTCCACTACGCAGCATTTCGCTCAGTCCTACTATACGGGTGCGGAACGTGACCCGTAAGAGTAAAGGATATCCGTAGGTTACTGTTTATCGATCACAGGTGTCTGTTAAGCATTGCTCTTATATCCCGGGACAATCGAGTTAGCAATGCTGTTGTTAGTATACGAGTACTAGATAAGGGTGGTAGATCGATTGACGAGGTATTGAATATTCATTAGTTGAGGTGGTTAGGACACGTATTACGTATGCCCGACCAGCGATTTCCTCGACTAGCAATATTTTGTGGTGACGCGTAGGTCCGACCGTAGTGGTCGGGCTTGCCTTTCGTGGTGATCCAACCGAGCTATACTGGCTGCAACATATGTTCCTGAAGGTTCTACCATGCCAGGCAGGTCGATTGGAGAACGATCAGACTAAAGGCAGCAACTCAAGGTCTGAGGGCGAAGTCGTACTGCCGACTACAGAGGGGTGTGACAGCAGTAAGGTTTTTCCGTCACACAACCAGCATCTGCAGCGATTCTGCCTTCTCAAAAGGAAGGAAGGGTTAGAAAAGGTAATATACTGTCGACACTTTCAACATTAGGTGGGCCATCTGTTTTCCGTCGAAGCAGATGGGGGGGGGTGGTCTATTTGTGTCCATCAATGAGTCAAATGTTTGTCCTCGAGCGGATATTTTTTCCTGAAACGGAATTATGTTAGTATTACTTCCAATGACCTGGAAGCGGCAACTGCTTGGAACCCGTCACACGGGAAGTTGGTGTCGCACTTCAAAAAGCCTCAACACCGGAGACAAATCTGTCGACTGTATTGAAGTGTGACATTCATAGGGTCGATCTCTCCTGACATACCTTTCGTAATGACAGGGCAGCGTCGCTGCAGATACTGGGTCTTTGAAGGAAACAATTTACTGCCGCTTCAGTCTTGTACAGTCAACAGCATGACTTCGCCCTTAGACCTTTTATTTAGTGTTTACGGTCCATTTCACAACCTGCTTGCCTGACATGGAAGAAGTGCTTCAAACAACAAAGCTGTGTTCAGTCATCACAATACGCAAGCCCGACCGCCATGTCAAGATAGCAGCGAAGTCTTGTTCCAATGGCATAAGCACCTAGTTTTCAATATTTTAAGCTAATGAAATATTCGTAGTTCTCTAGGTCTACACACGGTCCATGTTCACAAATAATCGAGGAGGATTCCAAATGATATCAACTAACAGGGCATGTATCGCAGTGCTGTTGATACGATTCATAGAGTCAAATCTAAAGGGATGCCAATCTAGAATCTGGCTTCATCTAATTTTTATTTCTCAGTAAGGAACCAAGATCAGGTTAGGATAAACGGTTGTCAGTCAGTCATGGCTAGTGGGATTGGATAACAAAATGTTAGGGTTAGTTGGTTCCGGTCAAGTGACCTAACCAGAATACCCGAAGTAATTGCTGCCCGTACAATGGTTGCCAAAATCCCAAAGAGTTGTGATCGCAATTATCGCTTACATAGTTCATGCATAAATATCAATCAGCTTTTACTTGGTCGGAATTGTAATCTAATTTACCGTGCTCGCACATTTTCTGAACGTCTGTCGCAGTTAATTAGATGGGTGTCAGTTGGCATGTTTGATGGTTCTGTTTTTTCTTACGCTTCGATTGTGCAGTAGCTTCAACATCAACACTCAAAATGACTTTCGGACGTTGGATTGACTAACTAGAAAGCTGGGGCCTTATACTATGATCCATCATGTTGTCTAGCTCAGGATTCGTCTTTAGAGCTACCGACGTTTAACATGGACTGTGTAGACTAGCGAAGTGTTTAGTTTAGGGATTCAAAGGAACATGTAATCAATAAGTAATAACCTGAAATCAGTGACACTGGGGAAGACATGTATGTTCCTTCCTTTTAGTCGCAAACATATTTGGTACATTCCTTTGTTTTATGTTCTGACAGCGATCCATTTGCATTAGTTAGGATGTAGATCTTGGTAAGTATATACATCAGTTCGAGTAACTATCTAAGTATCTTACAGACTTTAATTAACAATTCTGAATCAGTACTCATTTGTAGGACGTGATGACAAAATTTTAGCATGTTTTTGCGGTTTAGAGTGTTATCCAGAGTGCCGTCCAATCTGATAGTAATATATTTATACTATTTTGATAATGATTAATAAGACATTGCTCACTTCGACGCCACCTTGATTACTGATGGTCGGTAATGCCGTTCGGAAGTGTGGTTAACAATCTCCCAACAAGCTATACACATATAAGGTTAAGAATGCTTAAGTTCCTGTGTCAGCGCAGACTTACGAGCCTCTTAAAAAATCTGGTACAGTCGGATATTTATCCCAGTTGCATTCAAAATATAAAAGTGAGTCCTGAAGGTTTGTGCCCACTTCAAATTTATTCTCATTACAGTCATATGGGTTCATTCATCTAATCGGAGTCAAAACCTGTGCTAACTGTGCCTACATTTCAAGTCCTCAACCGAAAAACTGAACTTATATTATCACGCACAGATGTCAAGACGAAATTCGTGAAGTTAATACAACCAAACTTTGCCCTTTAAAAAATAAGATAACTTCAATTAAACAGAATAGTTAGAAATGATCTTCTAATCTAAGAGATCTAGCGATTTTAAAACGTCAATGTTCGGAAGAAAGATAGAGCGACGAACATTTAACTTATGTGAGCTTAAACACCTTCCATATATTCAAAACTAGTGTATTCAGAAGGAGTTATAATATCGATTGCAAGGGAGATATATCTACAATAATGAACAACCTAGTGTTATTAGTTGGAATTTTTCAATATTTCACCAAATTTTAATTTGCAGGTTCAGCCATTTTAATTGAATGATACACATGTTCTACAATATCACGAGGTGTATGCATCTTTTCCGCGTCCACGTCACTTATTTCAAACCCTGAAAAATTCAAGCAAAAAAATGGGTAAATCGACAATGTGAAAGAGCAGTAGGATTAACAATTAAACAACGATATTTCATAACTAGAGAACACAAAGAATGAATGCACCTGCACCTTTGTCCAACGGACGACACTCCAGTGGTTGTTTAGTGCGAATCGATCCATAATGAAATTTTTCTTGAAACATCAACATTGATCGTTTGACTGCAATGGCATTTTTACTTAGAGTGAACTATAAAGTTGTTCGAACCTTGCTAAGAAAGCATTGAATTTGTAACCTTTTTTTGCATCAATTAGTGCTCTGCCTAAGTGTAAATTAGCATTGTTCGAAACCATTATTGAAGGAAAAACTCAATACATGCTATTTTTCAGTTTATTTATTTATACGACCTGGTGTCGCTGTATGGAAAGATTGAGATCTGTTGGTCCTTTCCAACTACTTGGTCGGGGTCCTAGAGGTGGTGCAACTCAGTGGCTTGAGATGCTGTAAGACATAGCTTTGTTCATTAAACGGGGCAAACTTCTCTAGCTTGAAGAATTCTTCCTGATTATATTTTTCTTAACTGAACCGTTTCTATTATTATTTTGATAACTCTCACATAGTTATACTCATTTATTGCTTTTCCCTAGCATACTTATCTATCATTCTCTGTCTCTTCACAATTTCACTCATTTATGTAGCGCATACATATTTTAATGCCCCTTAGTATTTATTATCTATGTTTTAAATAAATAAAATCGAAGGGCTAAGAGTATATGGATAAAATTCAATAAACATTTTCAATAGATTGTACGAAAACTTGAGTACAAATTAAGGAACGAGAGGACACTTTCACAGTGAGCTTAATCCAGCTAACAAGTTTGTTAAATCGAAATACGTAAGTGGAAACAATAGAGAAGATAGTCAACTGAGACCTAGAAACGTCAAATTCTGTAATCAGGTAGGAGTTTTAGCTGACAATTATTTCACACATACAAGAGAAATCATCAAAATACCGAAACACTAGAAAGGCTTAACGGGTTGTTCAAAATCTAAAAAACAGTCAGTCGATTTGACATTAATCCAAATTGGAATTTGCCCTCTTGTATCCATAAGATATGTTGGTCTAAAATAATCAAGCAGTTCCAAAAAGGTAGGGATCGATTTCAGCTAACTCAGTCTCAAGGTGACGTAAAAGTAACTGCGACAGACAAATATAAGGTTTGCGCATGATGCCAGACACGTTGACTAATGGAAAATAGATGGTAATGGATGCCGTGAGCAAACGCCGTGCCGAATTATTGGTGATATGAATTCAGTATTTAGGAAATACTGCGCTGAACAAATTTAAAACGGGGAAAATGAGCTCTAAAATTTCCTTGATGTAAACCTCATTAATTGGTCATTTGTAGTGAATTTTGTTTAATGATGGTTATGTATCATACCAAAAAATGATGCGGAAAACTGTACAATTATAAACCGAACTGTAATCATCCCAGTGTCCCCGACCGCAGCTGCTACCTTGACGTGGTGATCGAACTTGCCTATCGTGATGATCCAACATATGTTCCCAAAGGTTCTACCATGCCAGGCAGGTCGATTGGAGAACGACCAGACTAAAAGCAGCTACTCAAGGTCTGAGGACAGTCATACTGCCGACTGCAGAGGGGTGTGACAGCAGTAAGGTTTTTCCGTCGAACAGCCAGCATCTGCAGCGATGCTGCCTTCTCACAAAGAAGGAAGTGTTAGAGAACGTCGACCCCAAAAATGTCACACCTCACCCTACTTCACGGATTTCCGCCTCCTTGGGTAAGGATGCCCACTAAGGGCCTTTAAGAGCGGAGCTAATACCCAAAAAATCTTTCATAAAAATGCCGTGCGTGACCGGCCTGAAGCAGTTGTCTCTTGAGCTCTGCAGTCACACTCCTAGGTCATTAAGACCAACGTTATTCTACTTTGTTTTTCAGGTTCCTCAAGGAGAAACTTCCACGGTGTGGGCAGCCAGGAAGTGACAACCCCCCTCATACCCGTAACAGTACGCCAGACCAAATCGGTCAAAATCAAATCCTTCCTACACCCCCTAACACCTCTCTTATCTCCAGGACTAACTCTTCTCACATTCCTTTACCTCACTGTACCGCTAATGCAAACGATGCGAGTTCACGAAGTTACTCCTGGTCTCCTGAAACCCCAATCTAGACCACATGTTGGAGCATTTAATGTACGGACATCGTGTTAAACAGGGCAACAGACTTCCTTAGCTAGGACATTAATCTCGCGCCATCGATGTATGCTGCTTCTCGGAAACGCGCATGTAAGATCCTAATAAATTTAATAATTTGATTTCTCCTTGTAAAAATTAAGGAGCAGCTCGATTTACTCTTCGTGTTTCCGGGAGCTCTGATGCTGCTTCCCAGGGTCTCACTGGCGTAGATATAGCATTGAGTCGTAGGGCTGAACTATCTCTCCTCGACTGGATCCCAGAAGATAGTCGCCTGTGTGCTGTTCGACTAAACGGGACGGTAAGGACTCGTAAATATAGGGACACTCGCCGTTGCCTCTTCGTCATATTTGCCTACGCTCCCATTGAATGCAGTTCAGATGAGGCGAAAGATGATTTTTACAGAAAGCTTTTGGACCTCCTCCAAAAGGTTCGGCGCTCTGATGTAGTAATAATTGCTGGTTGCAACTGTGCTGAGATAACCAACTATTTCTAGCAAAACTAGCATAAGCGGAAACATCTTTTCACACGGCGACCCCCAAAGTCGTCTCAACGATGGACCCAACTAGATCACATTGCCATCAGCCACCGATGGAGGTTCGATAGAGGACTGTCGCTCATTCTGGGGCACATGTTTAGATTCAAATCATGCCCTAGTGCGAGTGCGTATTTGTTTGCGACTTACCGGACGTAGGAAAGACACCGCGAGGAAACCTCTTAAGGTTCTACCTAATAATAGCAGAGCTATGAATATATTTCTGGAACAACTAGAAAAACAGTTAGGCAACCATGTAAGCGATTCCCATCTGGAAGCAACTTGGTATGATATCAAAAAGGCTGTGGAAACAGCAATGACATCTTTTAGTAAGGTAAACCATAAGGCTAGGAAGAAGCTGTGGATCTCAGTAGCATCTACCGAATTGATGGATGCGCGAAAACTTATCCCACCTGGCTCTGAATATGATGAACAGCGAAGTCAACTTGGACGCAGGCTGATAAAAAGCCTACGCAATGACCGAGAACAGTGGTGTGTGGCGAATGCAAAACCTATGGAAAAGGCAGCGGCGATATGTAACAGTAGACAATCGTTCCACCTTATGAAGGAAACCGGTATTAGAAACCCATCTGTTAGCGAGACTATAGCAGAAAAGGATGGTTGTACCATACATTCTCAATCCAGGAGACTGGATCATTGGGCAGAACACTTCAGGATCAGTTCAACTGGCCTTCAGCCACACTTCGGTTGCCCACAATCTCCAGTCATCCTGAATGGGAAACCGACGTAAGTCCTCCGAATCTTTATGAAGTTGAGATAGCGATAGGAAATCTGAAGCGAGGAAGAGCAGCAGGTCCTGATAGATTGACTGCTGAGATATTTAAGCATGGTGGTCCAGCTTTAGCAGGTAGATTGACCGAGATCTTAGGTAGAATCTAGGAACTGGACGCAACCCCATCTGACTGATCTCGATCACTGATTGTCCCAATTTATAAGAAAGGACGAAAGTCTTCTTGTGACAATCCCAGTCAATAAGTCAGTTGCAATGTAGAACTTCGTACGTATGTACATAAGTTCATGTTGCCATACCACATTAGAACAGAGACGCAAATGTCAAATGAAATCCCATAGTGATAGAGATAGTAGAGGTATTAATGGTAATGAAGAAGAATAGGGTTCGAAGATATTATTCAAGAAGTATAATTCAGTGACAATCACACGAGAATCAGTCTAACTAACATAGTTTCTAAATTGTTAGCCTCGATTATAATTAGACGCCTTACTAGTGCTCGTGAAGAGCAGACTAGAGAAAACCAGGCTGGTTTTCGATCTAGACGTGGTTGTACAGACCACTTTTTCACACTACGACAGGTCCTGGAACACGGACACACATTTAGGCGTCCGACAATATTTGTCTTCCTGGACCTGAAGGAGGTATTCGACTCTGTGGATCGTGAGGTTCTGTGGCATTGTCTATCATTGAAAGATGTACCAAAGAAGTACATCAACCACTCTCCCATTCTTGTCTAACTTTGTCGTAGACATGCTGCTAGAGTTAACAATATCATCGTCTGACTTTCCAGTAGTGGACCTTCTACCGGGAGACACGCTTGCTGACTTAGAGTTTGCTGATAACATAGTCCTATACGGTGAATACGCTGACAAAATGCAGTCTTCTGACTACCCCCTCAAAATGTAAAATGTTGCTTCAAGATTGGGTCGCAACGGCACTTGAACTTGTGATAGGGAGTGAAAAAGTCGGACATGTAGACCGCTTCATATTGGAAGTCGCATCAGTGCTGATGACCTAGTGACTGACGAAATCTCAGCACGGCTACAGACGGCTCGATTGACTTTTACCAACTTGCGTCACGTATGGCGAAGCCAAGATATCCGTTTGCTAACTGAAGGACGAGTCCACTGAGCATAAGTTCGCTCAGTCCTGCTATGTGGATGCGAAACAAGACCGGTAAGAGTAGAGGACATTCATAGGTTACTAGTATTCGATCATAGATGTCTTAGAAGCATTGCTCGTATATCATGGGACAACCGAGTAAGCAATGCAATAGTTAGGAAACGAGTTCTAGGTGGGGATGGCAGATCAATAGATGAAGTATTGAAGCTCCATCAGTCGAGGTGGTTGCGACATGTGTTACGTGTGCCTAACCACTGGCTGCTTCAACGAGCTACGTTTTGTGGTGGAGTAGGTTGGAAGAAAGCTAGGGGCGGTCAAACGAAACATGGCGCAAATCCATGAAGTCACTGACAAGTGGACTAAGCCATGCTGGTAGACTACCGGGTTGGGGTCCGCAAGATGATAGTAACCGATGGTTAGATACCTTGAACGACATGGCTCAAAATCGTTGGCAATGGCGCAGGTGCATTCACTCTTTGTGTTTTCTGAAATTCTCATCATCTGGATTCCTCATCAACTATACCTCTCTTTCTAAATTTATTTTACTGAATTACACTTCTTGAATATCTTCGTACACTAATGTTCTCCTTTACCGCTAATACTCCAACTATCCCTACCACTACGGGGTTCGAACTGACAATTGTGTCTGTTCTGACGCGGTATGGCAACCTGGACTTATGTACGAAATTCTACGTTGTAACTGAATGACTGACTGACATTTCAAGAGGTTTAGACATGACGACTGGATATTGACCAATACTAACTCTGAACAATGTTAATGACCACTTCTAAACGTTATTTATTTGAATCTACAGTGCGTCGGTAAGAACAGCTTTACTCTACTGGTAAAATCTGGTCTCTTCGACTTCAGGATATTAAATGACTATGTGTTCGACCATCGTCGTCTACATAGGATTTCCGACATTCAGTGGCGGCACCATGTTAGTAATGCAGAGACTGGGTAACGTGTTTTCTCGACATTCAAGGGTTATTGTCGCTCATGTTTAGCATGTAAGTGAAACAAAAACACGCCTACTGTTTGCTGTATTCCGGATGAGATATTATAGCACCTGATCTCTAAGGTTTCTACCAAATATCAATGACTGAAGATTTACTATTGACGCGTTTGGTTTACAGTAAGACAAACTTAGAGTGCTGAGAGGAAACAAATATATTCTACGCTCCCAACTGTGGTAGTTCCGAGACAATGTAACCGATGTATCCAAAAATCACGCTCGTGTACGATTCTTTTCAAAAATGTCGCTGAGCTCACTCACTGCATTGGAAAAAGGCTATGAATCACTAATGGGAAATCCCAATAGTTCATGGTTTTAGGATTCTAACGAATAATTTTCACTCACTTCATAATCCATTTGACTTCCTTACATCAAGTCTAGATATGCAAACGAACTCAGTGATATTTACCGATAATATTGCATCGTCAACGCTTATAATCCATACAGTAAACACACAATTTATCAATGTGGAAGCCTCGGATGGGTTTACTGAAATATTGAGAGAAATCATACACGTGTAATTTATGGACTTATTGGATGCATTGTACCAAAGCCCGCTAGACACCTCCAATGCAATTATCTCAAAACTAGTCAGTTTGACCTTAAAGTTAAGGGCTTCCAAAGGAATGAAAAGGATATCTACAAGTTTACAGAAATTTTGGTAGGACAATAAAGCTGGTGAATACTAGCGAAGTACAGAATGACAACTTTAGATATGGCAAACGAGCAATTCTGTTTGCTTAAGAAAGGTCACATTTTATATGATGAAAGGACTTACGGAATTCATTCTCGATCTCCATAATTACTTCTATGTGGTCCAAGCTGTCAAGACCGAGATCTTTAATAAATGAAGAATCCAGCGTAAGCTGCATTAAAGGTTAAGTAAATAAGTACGAGAACCTTTTCTGGTTGGATTTTGTCATATGCAGAGCAGACAGCTAACACTTTACTTTCCACCTCAGGTTTAGACAAAAGAATTTTGATCCATCGTTTTTGAATTAGGCATGGGTGTGCAAGCAGTGTACTTCCAACAATATTATTAGACACAGACGAAATATGCGAAATACTTTGAGGTAATACATATCTTTTGAAACCTATTCTGCAGAAAGTTGAGCAAAGATGCCTAGCGTTCATATTCGAAATGATGCAACTTCTAATACCCAATCCAATAAATCCAATGTCTTTTGCACGAGCGAGTATAAACCAATTGATTCCTTTGCGCTTCAATTTCCAATATCTTATATCTCTTTCACGAACGGGTATAAACTAACTGATTTCTTTGCGCCCGATTCTTGCACTTACCGTACGGTTCCAGGTAATTAGTAGTGTCCAATGAACGAAGGAATGAGCCAGTTGGCAGTTATTTGTGAATCTGTATGTCCCAAGATTTGAATGAAAGCGTTTGTTTCAGGGCAGTAGGGTTACTGGATACCAGAAGCTATCACGTTACCAGGCCAGAGATCAGTTATCTGCAGTGTTGAGAATAACAAGGAGAAAATTCTAATGCGAATGAGATTTCCGGACTAAGTACATAAGTAAGTTAATTAATTGGTGGTGGAGACTGTACTGGAGGACAGAAGTGTAAGCAAGGCAGAGGAAACAGAGATAATAGGCAAGACAGATTAATTGAGTGATCTGAGGAGATGGCAATGATATAAACTAGAAGGTCTCAAGATATGCATCATGAACAGCTTGTCCAAGAGGGAGATGTTAAGCCGTATGTGAGTATGTTATTACCATGTATCTTCTTAAAGCTATTCACTGAGGGGGCTGTGGTTACCTCTCTGGAAGAGCATTCCGAGTTGCAACGACTCTCAATGAGAAAAAGTGTGCACGAACCTTTGATGTGCAATTTTTTGACGAATACCTCCAGGGGGGTGGTGGGGATGCTTCGGTAAGATGCTCACATTGGGAGGATTCAGTGTGCTTAATATGTTGCACGCCACTATCAGACCACCTCTGATTCTACTGCTACTAAGAGAGAATAATCTCAAATTTTGGAGTCTGTTTTTGTAAGCTTTTTACTTCAACACTATCTCCCGTCTCATTGCTCCCTTCTGCCTTCGATCCAGGTGATTTGTGCCTCTTTTGAGGAGATAGGGTGCGACGACGTTATAAACCTCAGGCGTTCGGCGTGCGTATGTTTTGAACAATGCTAAGAATAATTATGGGGGTGAGTGCACAAAGTTGCCTTTGCATAAGGCGAAGAGATGCATTAGCCATGGTTGCGTCCCCCATGTAGTTCGAGCTGGTGTTTAGGCCTTCTGTAATCATCAGACCTAGAAAGCGCTCTGCGGAGACATTTGTGAGCGGACTTCTGCTGAGGGAGTGAGTTGTTTGCGTCACATGGAGCAAAGTAGATTAGGGTCGCCGTGCTCACAAGTCATTCATAAATATCAGGAACACGAGTGGACCAAGTATGTTCCCCTGTGAAACTCCTGATGTTTAGGCTTGCAAGCTTGCATGCACTCTATTAACCTTCGTGCGAAACTTTCTTTTCCGAAGGTAATTTCCGAGCCCAGGTAGAAACGGATCCGTGTAGTCCATCTTCGAAACCTCTGAATTTACGATTACATAAGGTAATATGACGAAATCTTCAGCGAAGTCAAGAGATACTATATGATCGTTTATTTTTCAGGCCCAGCAGGTTGTACGTATGTCCCATGCTATGAAAAGATTGGATGCACATGACCTGCCTTTCCTAAACCCATGTTGAGCTTCATAGATGATATTGTTAATATTCATGTGTTCACTCACTCGCTAATACATCATTCCTTCCACTACCATCGATGATATTGATAGTAATGAGACTGGTCTGTAACAGGCTGGATCTTTCTCCTGCCTCCTCCTTTGAAGATATGACAGTGTAACTTGTTTCTATTTAGCTGAGAATTGATATGACTCCAATGGATGCCTGAATAGATCACGAACCGGTGAACAAAACGCATTTGCACACTGTTTCAAGACTTTGAGGCGAATATTGCTGTTTCACTTGAGTTCCAAGTTTCTGAAATTCCTCTCTTTATACCGTATTTTCACACTGTTCCAGTCAAAAACATGTCCACAGTTACCTGTATTAATGCATTAATATATGTGAAGAAATATCGTGGCGTTTGACTTCTAATTGATATTCACGCAAAGGAAGCCCAAGAGGACGTCCATTTTGTCCTATCTATTGTTTTTCACTGCATGAGACGTTTATTTTGCAGATGATATTTAATTTTCTTCTTTTGTCGTTTTTTCATTTGGTCTACATAGGTTCGATTGAAGTGATTCTGTTAGTTTGTGTGCTACACCTATTTTGAATTCTCTCAGTATTTGCCCTGTAATTTCCAATATATCTTTCACGTATGATATAATGTTCCGTTTACTGGTTCATGAACTTGTTTCCGTTTCTGTTGACGATTTTATTTTATGTTTGGTGATGAAGTTGAATGAAAGGCCGTTCGTTTGGAAGATAGTTTTTAGATATCTTTCTCCGTTTTTTGTGTTTCATTTGTGCTTCGGTGTGTCTTCGCTATCTTAAACAACGTTTGTATGCGGCTGATTTTGTGGGTTCTTGGGTAATTATAATTGTAGTTGTTGGCTTCCGCAATACCTGATTCTCCAGTTTCCCTATGTTGGTTCTGGTGATTAGTACATCCAGGAATAACAAATTGCTGTTCGACTGCTGTTCCATTTCGAAAATTCTGTCATCAGAGACGTTGTGGATCCGATTTTAGGTGTTCTCCAGCGCGTTACTTTTGATAATGACGAATGTGTCGTCTACATAGTAAATTCAAATTTTGGCTAAATCACTGGTAAAACTGACGCTTCTAGTGCTGCATCACAGTCCTGAAATCGATAGTCCCATTAGTGTTCCTTTTGTTTGTTCGTAGAATCTTTTTCTGAATTGGAAATACGATGTTCTGAGATACTGTGACTCTGAAGTTTCGTATATTTTTGGATATTTGTTTCGTTATTAAGGGGCAGGGATAGAGTTTTTGAAGCTAAGCTTGGCTCTGTATTGGTGAATCAGTCTGTTACGTAGAATGATACCATCATTTCATCGTTTCGATTTCAATTCCTTTTAGTTTATGCAAGAACTCTGAGTGATACTTAATGGAGTAGTTGTATTGATTCACCAGATTTTTAAATATCCTTAAAATTTTTCTGGATAAACTGTGTGTTGGTGTTTCAGGGCTGAATACGATTGGATGTAGTGTAATGCTGAATCTGTATAGCTACGGCCTAACGTAGGATCGTGAAACAAATAGTCCACTGGATTTCATTCTGACTCCGCTTGTAGAACCTTCGGGGCTACTGCCGGTCCCGAGCCCGGATAAAGGAGGAGGGTTGGACATGAGGTTGGCGAACCCATACCTCCGAAAAAATAACTTACCAAAAAACTCTAACCAGAAGAAATAATTCAAACCATTTTAACTCTGCCCTGGGAGCCAGAAGAAGAATTATAACGTCTCGTGATGAAAGCCGAGTTTCCTCGGAAGTCACTGGGCCAATGCCTTTCCTGACAACCAGAGCAACCATTCTTTTAGGTACATGGAACTTTCGAACATTGTGGGAGACTGGAAGACTATTTCAAGTTGCTGCAGAAATGAAAAGATACAACCTAGAGATGCTTGGAATCAATGAAACGCATTGGAGACAGATAGGACAACTGAAACTAGCTTCAGGGGAACTACTGTTATATTCTGGTCATGAAGAGGAAAATGCTTCACATACACAAGGAATTGCACTGATGCTGTCCAAACAAGCACAAAAGGCGCTGATACGGTGGGAATCTCATGGACGCAGGATCATTAAAGCCTCCTTCAAAACAAATAAATGTTTTGTTTTTTGGAAAATCCCTCCATGTATATATATTTGTGTTATGATATGACTGACTCTTTCCGTCAAAACCAAAATCAGGATTTTCAATACAAATGTCAAGACAGTTATACTGTATGGAGCGGAAGCTTTGAGAACTACTAATGCCCCAATCCAGAAAATACAAGTATTTATGAACAGTTGTCTTTGCAAAATGCTTCTGGTTCTTTGGCCAGTCACCATCAACAACAGAGAGGAAGGCCAAGGAACACATTAGGCCGAGAATTAGAGAAAGACATAAGATGAATGAACGAAAACTGCAAAGAACTGGGAAGGAAAGCCCAGGACAGAGTTGGTTGGAGAAACCTAGTGGGCGGCCTATGCTGCAATGGGGGTAACAGGGGTAAGTAATTGAGTAAGCGGGTTTCAATCTCCATTGATCTTATTTTTATATCTGTCTTGCTTTGGCAAGCTTGTTTAGAATCCTTGGGATTTGGCTGTCAAACATTTTTATGGGGAATATGTCTCTAATGAAAGTTAGAGCGCGACCGAAATTTGCTACGCTTCGTTCAAGAATCGCACTGCCCACTGTTGTGGCAGCAGTGTACTTGGCAGGTACCTCCCCTTGCTATCGTATGAAGTGATCCATAAATATCAGGAAGTAAGTTCAGCTCAAACCTGCTATTGTCATTATCTCTTAAGCCACATGTGGTCGAAGCTAGAATCGGAAGTTTGGAAAATACTTAGGGGACATGTGTTACGCCCAATTACCTTAGATATATGACAAGCTACACAGCAGTATTCCAACTCCCGCATGACGTTACTCATACTAGGCCAACGAAATTGCTCTGCTGCCAGCTTGATGGTTGCCCGTATACTTTTATGAGATTATTGTTGCAAAGTATTGAACACATTACTTTGATAATGTTTGGACGATCTTTGTCCGTGGATCATTCATGAAGTTAAGGTTCCTTACCTGTTTCCATATTTTTGATTAGTAGTTTCAGGTTAGTGAATGATAACTCTACTTAGAGATCAGTGTCTTTTTTTGAGGCTGAGCGAGTTTGAGAAGGCCGAATCGTCCGAATACAAGAAAAAAAGAGCTGAAGGATCATGTCCTATGACGAGAGTGAATGATTGACCATCTTCAGAGGGTTGAGAATTTTGTACAGCACGATACGTACTTAGGAGTACCATGCTACGGGTATGATATCCCAACCCAGCATCCTGCAACTGTCCGGGCAAGAATGCTAAAGTTTCCCACGTACTGGTTTTCCGTCGTTGTAAGGCTGATCCAATCGTTCAGTCAGATGCATTTAACGCAATACTATTGGGTAATTGAGAGTCCACATGTTTCAACAAAGCCTAGCAACGTGTTCTTTGGCTGCGATGAATGCTTTCTCCTCTGTCGTTGAATTTAACTGGTGATCGCTTTTACACGTAGTTGGCTAAGGCTTTCATGTGAGACGCGCAATAAGATATGTACCTTCGGTATAAGCTAACAGGCCCATTAAACTTGCATGGTTTGTTGACCGTGGTCGGTCCTAGGCTACCACTTTATCTTCGAAGGGGTAAAT